TGTCCCCCAGGTAAATGTAGGGACAGCGGCGTTGACTGTCCCAGCGGGTCATCGCTGGTTAATGGCAGTCGGGTTTCCATCCCCCAGCACCTTCCCTGCAGAGGGTGGGGGAGTGAGGCTTAGGGCTAGGGGAACTTGCTCAGGTACAAGACAGAAAAGGACTTCAGGCAGGATTCGAACAGCCTACCTGCTAAACTACTGCCTCTGATGAAAGGCGTTTATAGCCCTTAGTCCCCAAAGGCCTTGCAGTGCCGTGCCACGCCAGCTCACAAAGTAGTAAAACTAACACCGAAAGCAACTGAAATCTCTGTCTCGGTTTATCAAGATGATACTGTTGGGAACACGCTCTGCAATGGTTTTCTGAAACTCATTTTTCTCTCATCTCTTACAGCTTCATTTCTGTCATCCACCTACCTCACACCGCCCTCACCTCCCTCAAAGCTAAGTGCACCTCTCTAAGTTCGCATCCACCGGATCTTTCTTAAGGAGAATTCTCTACATTTTTATTTAAAACTCCTTACATTCATTTTAATTTCTCCATATTATAGCCGTGCCTTATCGTGACCCCCCACCATCACCCCCATGCTCTGGATTGAACCCACGACCTTCATGCTTAACATGCATTTCAGTGAGACTGCCTGCCACGAAGTAATTATTCTTTAACCCAGTTTCACAAAATGACCCCCAAGGAATACAAGATCTAAATGAGGAGGGTGGCTGGAAACATACAAAAGATTTGGTGAATATTTGTTTTAATTTGTCGCGTTACCCTTAAATGTGAAGGGTCTGAAACAAACTGGAAACATTGAGTTAAAGAAGTTTTTCCAGGTAGTGGTGCTGCACACCTTCAATCCCAGCTCTTGGGAGGCAGAGATCTCTGTGAGTTTTGAGGCCAGCCTGGTCTCCAGAGCTAGTTCCAGGTCAGCCCCCATAGAGAAACCTGCCTCAAAAAGCCAACAAAATGAACAACCCGGCAGTGCAAAGGAACTGTATTTAACCCTGAGGCTTCAGTGCTTATATGATAGTTTGTTGTTCCTGCTGTTGTTAATATTCTGAGACAAAAAGACTTAGGGGGGAAATTAAGAGTTGCAAACCAATCTATTCCCCAGACCTGCAATATCAAAAACGCCATAAATCTAGTGGCTTAAAATAGTTGAACAGCATTCAGAAAGAAGAGATAGGCAGAGTCCTGTAAGTCTGAGTTCAGCACCGTCTGCATAGTGAGTTCCAGGACATCCAGGGCTATGTAGAGAGACCCTGTCTCCAAAAATAAAAAAAATAAATTAAAAGTAGAACCTGGGTTTGATTTCCAGCACCCACATAGCCGCCCATAACCTCTGTTCCAAGGGATCTGATGCCCTCTTCTGGCCTCCACAAGCACCAGACATACCTGTGGTTCATGGACATACCTCCAAGCAAAACACCCATACTCATAAAATAAAAGTTTAAAGAAAGAATAAAAACAGAGCCAGGCAATGGTGGCGCACACTTTAATCTCAGCACTGGGGAGGCAGAGGCAGGCAGAGCTCTGAGTTCAAGCCAGCCTGGTCTATAAAGCAAGTTCCAGGACAGCTAGGACTACTCAGAGAAACCCTGTCTTAAACAAACAACCCAAAACCCCAGTAGAATCGTCTCACAGTTTTAGAGACTAGAATTCTGCAACCAAGATGTCAGCAGGACAGAACACTAATGGAGGCATAATTTAGGAGGAAAGATTAGAAAGGAGGGTTTGTGACAAATCCGAGGAGACAGCGTTTTGAAAGTTGTAACAGCCAGCCAGCGGAACTGGGGACTTGTTCTATGGGTTTGGCTTTGAAAACCACTTCCACCTTTATGAGCCTCCCTTCGCCTTCGGCTTCCTTTAGCATCAACCCTCACCAAGTTCCCTTTCGACCTCCGTGGCATTGGCGTCCCATTTCCTTCAGAAGCCATGCTGAGTTCAGGTCGGAGGAGGAACTAACTGTCCGTTGGATTTGCAGATTAGGAGGTAAAACACTTTCCGTGGAGGAGAAGCCGCCGGAGACCACAAAAGAGTAACAATGAGGAGGTGCAGAGAGCAGACAGTCTATTACTCTTCTGAACTGTGGCTGAGAAAGCAAGTTCTTTCTCAGCTGTACTCGGGAATGTCCGACACAGTTGTCATTCAGTAAGATTATACATCAGGAAGATTACAGTAAGGTATACATTCAGTAAAATTATATCTTCTTCGTCGTGTTGCTGCCATTTCCAATCCCATTCTTTAGCTACAGGGCATTAAAGAGTCAGCTGTAGAACAGAGACTGGAGCCCAAGGGTGGCAGACAGCAGCGTGCAATCGCAAGGTCCTGGTTGAAGACACAGGCTTTATGTTCTGGGGAATGCTTGCAGGTGGGCTCAAGTGCATGGGCACAGGTACTGTTCTCAAGATGAGCGAAGCAGAGCAGCTGGGAAGTCTGTTGACAGCTCTTAGGCTCCAGCCAAGGTCTCAGCTAGAGCTGTGGCCAGGCCATGGAGAAGGCAGAAGGCAGAGCAGGGCTGAGCTCTAGACCATGTGAAACCTAACCTAGCTACCAGAGCCAAGGGAGCAAACCAGTTACAGCTCAAGAGGGCCCAGTGCCAAGATTTGTGTGCAGAAGCCATTGCTGCCTCCTCAGCAGGTAGCAGAAAAGACCCCAGAACACTGCGGCTCAAGCTGCTGAGATGATAACCCGCAACCGAGGCCCAGCAGGAGGGACTGGGCTTCTGGTGACATACAGGTGATGTTGGAGGCCAGCCATGAGAGATGAAGGCAAAAAAGAAAAAAGAAAGACACTCATCAGCACGACCCATTGTAGTGACCCTTCCTTCCTTCATTAGCCTTCGGAGGTACCTCTCACCCACTAACTGACAGCAGCTCCTTCATGCTCTACCCCACCTTCCACGAAGGCACATTGGGAGGTCCCCTGCAGGTCGTATGCAGGCGTCAACCACACTTCGGAGAGTTCATAAAGCCCTTCTACTCGTATTCGTAAGCAACCCTAGTTAAACTCAGTGGGACACACACATAAGATACAGAAGTCGAAGGGGGCTGAATAGTCGGGGAGACGGAAGGATTCAACAGGAGAGGGAGAAAGACACCAAGGTGATGGGGACAAGGCCATCATCAAAACACATACAGGTATGAAACTGTCCAAAATAGTGAGCAGGTATGACCTGAGACATTTGGAAAGGCTCAGCACGAGTCGATCCTGTTGGCAAGAAGAAATGATAAAGGTTTGACGTTAAGGTAAAAGAATAATGGCCCGGATACATATTTTAATGATAAGTGGCACAGATTGAAAGTGCACATGAAGGGCAGATACTACCATGTTCAGCCACGAGCCTATGTCCTCAGATAAATGCGTCACTAAGTAAATGGTGTGAAGTAGTATTATAGTATGCCATCATAGAGAATACTTGAACATACCTAAATGATGTAGGCTATAATTGGGCTATATGGTGTGGTATAGCCTGTTTATGTTACAATATTATTATTTTTTAAAGATTTTATTATTATTTGTGTGTGTGTGTGTGTGTGTGTGTGTGTGTGTGTGTGCGCGCGCGCGTGCGCGCGCATGTGCAGCTACCCTCAGATGCCAGAAAAGAGCAACAGATCCCCTGGAGCTGGAGTTCTAAGTAGTTGTGAGCTGCCAATGAGGGTTCTGGGAATCAAATAAAACTATTATGAAATTAATTAAACAGTATCATTACATTTTAAGTATTATTTGGGAGCACCAACGATACTAACTTCCATTTATCAGTCTTTTCTGAGGATTTCCCATGCATGGTGCTTTTTTTTGTTAGTTTGCCTGTCATTGTTTTCCGAGACAGGGTTTCTCCGTGTAGCCCTGGCTCTTCTGGCTCTCTCCAGGCTGGTCTACTGCACTGTTAGCATTCACTGACAGTCGGTGTCTCGTTTATTTCATAAGGAGGAACCCAGGAATACAACACGGATACATTGGCCATGGATAAGAAACCTCTTGTATTCTCAAAGTGGGCACAGCAGGGTTAGAAGGGAAAGGGCTGTCGTTAGAGACACTAGGCATCAAGGGGACGGTCAGAGACTTCAGCTAATATGGGCAGTAAGTAAGTTCTGTGAAGACAGTTATTGTTTCCTTTTGGAAGCACACTTTTGGAGTGCATCATCCTCTTATTCAACAGACTGATCAGACATTGTCCTAAGTAGGTGAAGATGGCCTTGGGAAGGAACTGAACTGGATAGGCATCAGCTTAAGGTGCTGTCTGCGGAGCTGTCTTGGGACATGTGTACCTCTCTTCCTGTCCCCACAGGGCACTGTTCCACCTGCTGAGGATCTTGGACATTTGAAATTATATTTATGAAGGAAAGGACCACTTGTGATGGGAGCCCCCAGCAAGGAGCTCTTTACAGCAGCTAGAGAGGGCCATTGTGGAATTCATCCCGTGACCCTGGGCCAAGCACTGGCTGGTATCACTCCTAAATTTCTGGGGACCACCTCAAAACTCTAGAGGGAGTTGTGGCCAAGTCTGCCCCTTGCCTGATGCCGCTCCACTTCGAGCAGAAATGCACTCCATCTGGAAGCGTCTGTCTTTATTGCAGCCTCAGTAGAAGACCGCAGTTGTGTGCATTTTGATTTGCCATGACAACATTTCAATGTACAGGGGGTTTAAAAGATTCTCAGCACGAACTTAACTGTTGCTTCCTCTTGAAATTTACATCAGGCACATCATCTATAAATTCGCTTTCCAAGCATTTGCTTTTCCCTGAGTTTGAATCTTTTACTCCAGAACAGCCTTGTTTTGGAGAGTTTCGCAGGCAGAAACCATTTCCTTCTGTCCCCGCCAGCCAACCTGCCTGCCTTAGGAGCACATCTGGAAGTGGTTTCAGGAGCAGCCTCTGAGGCACAAGGCTTGGATTCCCAGCCGCTGGAGGAGGAGTCAAAGTCCACGCAAGCGGAGGTGGGTGTGGACACAGAGCCCTGGCCGGCGCCGCTCCCTGGCCCCTTGGGATTTCCAATGGCATCTTAGAAGCGGCAGAAGAGAAGCTTAGCTGCCACTACGAGGCCAGCCGCAGTTTGAACGCCCCGCCCTGCCCAGTTCTGGACCAAGGAGCCCAAAGCCTCCCTCACCATCCATCAGGTAAACAGAGTAATTTACAAGCAAAGAACTCTCGGTTTAGCCTCCTCTGGCTACAGCGCTTGTTTATTTTGCTGTGGACTCAAAGAAGTACATCAGACAGAGAGGTCAGACTGCCCCCTCCACAGACAACCTCCAAAAGTCCCCTACTGATCAATGGTAGTAGCATCCTAGCAGAAGCTTTGCTACGCGACAAATCCAAGACGTTCATCTTGGGATGCTTTTGCAGAGTTTACCCCTAGTCTCCCCCCCTGCCCTGAAAGTGTTATTTGTTTGTTTGCATTGAATTTTAAGGATGGAGATCTGGAGTTAGACAGGACCGAGGTCAATGCATTTAATGTGAGTCTGCTTCTGAACCAAAATGACCTAGCTGAGTTATGATTCATTTTTTTCTTTTTTGGAATCTGTCTTCAGAAACTCTTTTAGGGCCTCCATTCCCAGTAAGAGAGCAGGCAGTCGTAGGATTCTGTGGGTTTGTTGTGGTACAGGGGCCACGATGCCTGTTTTAACATCGGTTTCTCGTGTTCCCGTTAGCAGTACATGCGCCATCTCTGCCAAGTCCAGCAGACCCTCATAGGTAATCTATGATAGATAACGTTAAGACCGGATAGTAAGCAGGCAGAGAACATAGATGTGTCTAAGCATCTGAACATGCTTGCAGATTGGTCCCTGCAGTGCTTGGCCCATGCAGCCTGCCAGCCGATGTGATGCTCGAAGGTTGGCCTTGCCTTTGCAGATTTCTCAAAATGTTTTGGTATTGCATTTCAGTGCAATATCCTTTTTGTATTACATAACAGAATTCTAGTCCTCGCTCTGATGCAGCCCACACCCGAGCTTGATTCTGGTCACGTCACATTGCATGTGCCTACATTTCCTCGTGTGTAAAATGGAAATAGAGAGATCTAACGTAACATGTGACACACAGGGTCTGCAAGGAAGTAAGACCTCAGGGTGCCCACCTCCCTGGCAGAGCTGATAATGACAGTTTCGGTGACAGGAATGACTACACACCCTGCAGTGGGCAGGACTCCGTTCTTGATGCATTCTTCCTCTGACATTCTGGCGGCTTCCAGTGCCCCTCCTCTCCCAACATGCCTACCCCGCAGGACCTTGCTGTCTTCATTCCTCCACTCAAATGCCTACCCCCAGCTCTGCTTTCTGTCTTTGTCTTTGCTCTTCATCTTTCTTCCCAGAGAGGAAGGCATGTCTATTAGAGCCACAGTTTTCATTCCCAAGGAACACTTTCCGTGATGTCAGAGATTTTTAAAGGCTGTTCAGAAGGACACAGTCTCACAGGAAAGGAGCTCCACAAACCCCAGATGGACCAAAAGGTAGGGAGTTACCTTAACTGTTCCGAGAAGAGTCACAAAAAGGAGGTCACTAAGGGCGCTTAGCACAGTTGTTCCCAAAGTTGAGAGACATTTTATCAGATCAGTGAGCGTTGCTTGGAGCATGCTGGGGAGGGGGGTGCTGCTCCTGTTCTGACCACAAGTGCCTTTATTTTGGCTCCTATTATGAAGCTCTTTTATAGTGCCCCTCGTGAGCTTGCAAGGGGTTGCCTTCTTCTTCCTCCTCCATGGCTACGGTTTTTAGTTTGGATCCAGACGTTCAAGTACATAAGACGGAATCCTTATGTTAGTTTTGGGAGATGGTACAGAAGTGACCTCAGGAGTAATGAGGCTTTGTGGGAGGTGCTTGCGTCACTCAAGAGCTCATGATATTTCTATTCATGCATTAAACATAACCTCCACTATTTAAATCATTCAACAACAGCTTTGGGGCACCTTTGCCTGTATTCCCCTCTTAACCGTTGGACTAGGAGATCTTTCCCAGCTCCTCCCTGCACCCAAGGCAGAGCCGATAAGTCAGTCATTATCTCTACCCTTTTACAATAAGAGCCTGGTGATGGCTTCAGGATTTCTCTTAATTTAGCAGTCCCAATTCCTCTATCAACTACTCAGAATTGACATGTAAAATAAATCTTTGGGGGTCTGAGTTTTGAGACCTTTCCCTTCCTTCCCACATTTGTCTTTGTGCACAAAACAGAGCTAAGCCCCTTAGCCACTGCCTGGCCTGCGAGTACTCCTTGAACATCTATGTAGCATCCTGGGGGGGGGGGTGCTAAGCACACCTCATCTTTCCTCAGGTCTAGTCTAGCTCTCTATGCTCTGCTGCTTTTTCCTAGTCAAGGCCTGAAGCCCTCTACCCTCTGTCTTCTCCTCTTGAAGCTGTCCCTTTCTGGTCCCTGCCTTCGTCCATCAGTGACATTTAGTAACCCACACCTCTACCTCTGGCTGTCTGAAGACAGACGGACAGGCTTTTCTACACTAGAGGTTTGACTGTTCTCACAGGAAAGTCGTGACTTGGAAGTCACCAGCCCTAGAAAAGCTGTTGGACCTCCTTCTAGAGTCCTCCGCCTTCACCCTTGGAACGGGACCACTGGCTCATCTTGATAAGCTGACTCCTTTCTTTGGGGGAGTGACAAGCAGAATGACGAGAACCTCTTTCTCCGGCTTTCTCTCTCCTGCTGTTTATCCAAACTGTCCTTGGGACAGGACAGGACAGGCGGACCGGGAGGGGAGTTACACTCCTGCCCTCAGCCATCATGAAAGGATGCAGACACAGCATGATTTAGAGGCTGGGGGTGGTGGCGCACACCTTTAATCCCAGTATTCAGGAGGCGGAGGCAGACGATCTGAGTTCGAGGCCAGCCTGGTCTACAGAGAGTGTCTGGTTCCAGGACAACCAGGGCTACACAGAGAACCCCTGTCTGGAAATATCAAAAGGGAGACATGAAAGGAAGCAAGAAGACAGTGTGGAGGGTCACAGAGGGGAGGAGGTGACAAAGGGCATTCCAGGCAGGGGCGCTGTTTGCATTAAGGCTGGGGACAAGAAACTGTGCAGCTGGGTGTGGAGAGGCTGCCTGGTGGGCACTGATCACGAGCTGCCCAGCTTGGCCAGAGGTGTGACACTGGGGGGGGGGTCATTCCCTTAATTTTCGGGGCTACCAATGAGGGGTTTTAAGCAAGAATGGAATGCTCAGAGTGTATTTTTACAAGGTACAGTGTGACATTTCAGTTCATATGTAGAGTGATTAGCTGGCTAAATTAGTATTCTGTCACATCTGTTGTTCCTTTTCTTTCTTTTTTATTTATTATTTATTTGATTTTTTTTTTGAGACAGGGTCTCTCTGTGCAGCCCAGGCTGACTGTAGACCAGGCTGGCCTCGAACTCACAGAGACCCACCACCCCTGCCTCTCAAGTGCTGGCATTAAAGCCGACCCGGACAGCTACCTGTCGTTTCTTTGTGCTGGAAACATTTGAGATCATTACTATTTAAATGTACAACCACGTGTTGTCAACTCTAGTCACTCCATGTTATTAGATGTTAGGTGTTATTTCTCTTACCTAGCTGAACCTGTTTAAACCATTTAGCCACACTGTCTCCATCCGCCCAGTGCCACAAACTGTTCAGGACAGTTCTGAAGCACACTGTCTTGTATTCTCCAAAATTGTCAGAGTTGTGACAAATGAAAAACAGTGTAAGTGGCACCAGTTATATAAATATAGAAAGCCAAGCTACAGAAGACCAGATCGGATGAAGGGAGTTGAGTACGGACTGCTTATTGGGTGGTGTTACTAATGCTATTTTTCTTAGATGTGACCATGGTGCTTTGGTTCTGCAGGAGCGTGTCTTTGCTTTGTTTGCATTTTAGTATACCCTGGTTTTTGTGCAGGTGTATGTGAGAGTGTATGTACACATGTGTGGGCCTATGTTAGCCCATGTAGAAGCCAAAGGAAGATGTCAGGTGCCGTGCTATTCCTCATTGTCCCCTTGAGACATTACCTCTAAGCCCGCCAGTCCTTCACTCTACCCCGCAACACTGGAGTTACTGGTGCACATGGCCATGCCTGGCTTTTTACATAGGTGCTAGGGATTCGAACTCAGACCTCCATTCTGGGGTGGTGGCCAGCACTCTTAACCATAGAACCATTCTTTTTTGTATTTCTTGTTTTGTTTTGTTTTTTTAAAGAGGCATGCTGAGCCAGGCACGGTGGCACAGGCCTTTAATCCCAGCACTTGGGAGGTAGAGGCTGGAGGATTTCTGTGAGTTCTAAGCCATCATAGTCTACAAAGAGAGAGTTCATGGGCAGCCAGGGTTACACATGGAAACCGTATCTGAAAACCCCAAACAAAAATTCTAAAAGGGGCACGGTGAAATATTTAGAGGTGATGTTGCACAATGCCTGCAGCTTCAGGGTGTGCGCGCGCACAGTCAGACAGCTAGGCGGATGCAACACTCTGCTAGCAAGCTGTTGAAGAGCCCATGAGTAATTTATCCTTTTAACCTTTGTAAACTTGAACTGTTTCAAGTGAAGCAAAGCAAAGAAAAAAATGATGAGGCTGCTGAAGCCTTTTATGCTTCACATCGCCTTCATGTAATTATCGATCTCGGGGGAAAAAAGCCCACGAGGCAGTTTATGTCAGTGGTTGACCGGGGAAGGGGAGGGGAGGAAGGCTGGATGGGAGGTCAGTTCGGGGCCAACAAAGGGGTGAGATGCAGCAGGCTGGAAGGGAAGACCTAGGCACAGGTTAGGCGGTGTAACTCATCAGAGACAGTGATGGCCCCAGTGAGGGATGAGAAGTAGAGGAGATGGCAGGGACCACCAAAGGGTGTCTCAGGGCCTGAGGTGCTGAGGTCATGATGGACACACAGCGCTGTGGTTGTCCTGTACCAGGGCTGTAGTCCTCCTGACCCAATGGTGTGTTCGAGAGATTGTATTGCTAGGTGCTGAACACAAGTCAGTGAACAAAGAGACAAAACTCCCAGCCTCTGGGAGGCTTCTGATGTTTCATTAGTGGGGACTGACTGGGGGCGGGGACAGTAGCCTAGTGGCTAGCGCTGACTATGGCTGAGCGCAGAGCTTTTTACTAAGAATCTGAGGGTGGAGAGGTGGCAAGTTCCTGAAGAACACTCTAGATTGGGGGAGGGGGGTGACAC